TGGTATCAACACACGGGCTGTGTCACAGCAAAAAAAGTGTAGCTTTCCGTCTTCCGGAAACCTTCCGGAAACCTTCCGGATACCTACCCATTTTGGATCCGGCCCGGATACCTTCCGGAAACCTTCCGGAAACCTTCCAAAAAAAATGTCAAAATTTGGGGGGTGCATTTTGTTCACTTAAGTGTGAAACACATAAAAAAATTAACTTGAAAATACCAAGCAATTTGAAGGTTGTTGAAGGCATCTGGAAGGTTTCCGGAAGGTTTCCGGAAGGTTTCCGGATGCAAATTTTCTTCATGACTGTGCATTACAGGTAGCTGTTGTAATATTCTGGGTTACTTTAATGGTAAATATCCTCCTAAAACATTTTTGGAGAAGACAATTGTTCAATTTCATATATTGTCCTTTTCAGATGTTAATGGTATTTAATGAACAAACATCAGTTCTCGTTTAATGATATCCTTAAATTTCATGTCCAGACTTCCAGTTTGTACTGAGAAAAAGAAAAAGTCATTGACAATGTGCTCACATGGGCCTTTGGTTCTAGTGAGATGATAATAAGACTATTTGTAACGGCACATGTACTTGTTATATCCAAAATACTAACTTCATTGAAATTTGCCTCACCCTAGTTTTATGGTACTACAGTAAGCTCCTCCTCAGTTACTGTGAATTCTTTTATTAAAAGGGATTAAGAGTTAATTTGACACTGGAGTTGTAACCACTGCACATATATGTGTATTCAAATAATATAACAACTATGTGCTTAATACTTCACAAATATCTCCAGAAATAGGCATTTTAGTTATAATTGCAGAAATACTTTATGAATGACCCCTTCACTATTGCCTTGATCTTACACTTCAACCCTTCAAGAGTTATCACTTTTGAGTGTGAATTTGACCTTCAATATCAGTGATAAATATTTCAAAAACATTTCAAAGAGCTATCCAGCACATAAACCAAATGTGCAGTCCTTTGGTAGAATTCAACATATCATTGACCAAAATATGGAAGTAATGTAACCAGTATATGTATAAGAGTTACTAAGACTTCTGCAGAAAGGGCAATTTAGGGGAAAATGTAGTATATATAGATCACACACGACCTTTTTCCAACTTCGACCCCTGTCCAAAGGAAGAGTTAGACCACAAACAAACTTTTTGTCTGGTTGTGACTTTGACCTTTGACATAACAGATCAATGTGTCATCAGACGTTTTCAGAGCAAAGGAAACATGTGTTATTTATCTTGAGATGCCCAAGCAATGCATGGTTTCATAAGATAAGTGTGGCTATTAAACTGAGGCAAAATCATGAAACATCCCCATTTACACAGCTGGCAAATGAAACATAAGCAACAATCAAATTATCAATTTCTTTTATTCATATGCCTATAGTATATCGCACATTGAATAGTGTTCACATGATGGTTCCTGATGCAGTATGCAATTTCATCCTATTCTTCAATACTCATAACAGAGTGTGATAACTGTTCACTTGACAGTACCTACGGATTATGTTCACCAGTTCAGAGAACTTACTTTCCCTCAATCCTCCTTTTCTTTCTATATTGCCATGGATGAACAGGAACCAGGATGAGGGGATACCAGTTAGACTCTATCTCTGCTGCATTGTGTTAGTAGAATTGTGAACTTTCCATTTGGTGTTTGGGTCCACATTTAAAGACAATAAGTCCCATTTATCATTCCTTTCAAGTGTTTACCACATGGCTCAAGACAAGAATTTCCTGAAAGTCCTGGAAGAATTCCACTCCAGCTTGGCATTGGTTGGTCTTCTCACATTAGCCAGACCAGCCTTTGTGTGTCCCTGTACCATTTGGCATACAACTTCTCGGTCGGCCTCCATTGAAATAACAGGACCCTCGTCATCGCTGTCTGCAAATCACCTCTGATATCTGAAGGGGTGCAGTCTCTGTTTAGGACTCCCTTGTCTGGTCTTCCAGACTGTCAACCTGGAGTACTCATCCAGGGATCTCAAGCAGGACTTCAGTTTCTGCAGCATTATGTAAAAAGATTTTAGCAATCAAAAAGAATTGTTGCCACATGTACTTACAGATAGAAGGCAGCAAAATCACTTAAGTTGTCATATGTGAGTCTTGTTATATGCTTAACATTTAAGATAATCACATCTCAAATCTCAACCAGACAAACCAGTGACTAATGTTATGAACTCGGTCCAGACAAACTGATGATAACTATTATGGACAATATCCCACATCACTGTGGTATGATTACATGCGATCAATGAGCCCACTCAATCACTACCTTATCTATTAATTAGGCTTGGAATGCTGGGAATCTTTTTAAGAGATGTCATTTAGTGATTGTTTCAACTCATCAACATGGAAAAATATATATTTACAATCCTTGTCATATAGCCAAACTATTGCTGGATGCAGTGTTAAATAAATGAGTTGGCTTTAACACTGCTTTGAACAGTATTCCAGATATATCAGCTCATGTTAGCTTGATGTGGGAAGAAAGCCCTAAGTGATGCAGGTCTTTGATGAATCCCACGAGCATGTGTATAATGCTGACAAACCTAGCAACATAATCGGGGAGAACCAGGATTTGAACCCATGACTATAGGCTTCTGCTAAGCCCAAGAGATGCAACTCTGCACAGAAAATTGTAGTGCCTTAGATAATAGGACATCCGTGCCCACAGCGATAATGAACAAACTGAAGACATATTTGCAAAATAACCATATGAACATGTGAACCAAACAGAATAATTTCAAAATATTTACCACTCACTGTTGCTCTTCTATTGTCTTTCTTTGCATTGATGCTGCACAGATGACTGTCTCTTTTATTCATCCGGACATTCTACAAACATAAGTAGCATTCACATCACAGAAAAATTTCCAAACTGTACATGTTGTTCATTTGATTCAAATGAAAAGACCCCGGTTGTGATTCCGACTTAGAACTACCCTAATCATATTAATTCATGTCAAACATTCAGAGATGACATTTATCCCCATATTTAACAAATGTCAAAACAATATTTTGACAACAAAGGCAGGGTCATTCAACACATACATTGAATAGGAAATAACTTGTTCGACAATGCAGAGAGATCCTCACCGAGGTGAATATCATTCCATGAATTATTGCCAAATTTTCTTGAAATGCAGATTAATGCAATGCAGTATTTACTTTTATGTCTAGGCTATTTGTTTGGCTTTTCCATGGCACTGTTTTGACAGAGATCTAACCTTGATATGACACTTTGTTCAGAAATGATATAAATAAGAGAATACTTTATTATTCCCGAGAAAATTTGGGTTACATTGTAAAAGCACAGAGAAACAAGTATAAGATTCATGATTTAAGTTAAATACACTGGACCCGTGAAGATTCCGGGGTAGAATAGGTCTTCAGCAACCCATGCTTGCCGTAATAGGCCATTATGCTTGTCGTAAAAGGCAACTAACAGGATCGGGTGGTCAGGCTCGCTGACTTGGTTGATGCATGCCATTGATCCCAATTGCGTGGCTCGATGCTCGTGATATCAATCACTGGGTTGTCTGGTCCAGACTCGATTATTTACAGACCGCCGTCATATAGCTGGAATATTGCTGAGTGCGGCGTTAAACAACAAACCAACCTAAATACACTCATACATACACACAGAAACACAACATCCAAACAACAGGGTTAGAAATTGGCACTAGTCATTTTGACATTTTAAAGGTTTTGCTATATGCTATCATTTTAGGACTAGTGGACTGAAAGTGTTAGTTCCTACCGCTGCAAACACTAATCAACTAATGAATTGGGTGGTCAGACTAGGTCGTCATCATACTCTGGGGGCATGGAACTTTGCTGATAATAACAATCACTAGATTGCCTGGTCCATGTTCAATTATTTACAGGCTGCCATCACAGAGCTGGACTATTGTGAGTGTGATGTTTCACATTGCATTGAAATATACCATGATGAATACATGTAGTTTGTATTTATCACAAACAAAAATACTCACTCAATACTTGGTATCCTCCCTGAGGATGTCTGTGAACCTCCCCACAAACCCTGAACATGCTGAAACAGAAAACAACTAACTTGTCTTTATCCTTTCAATGTTTCAGTGTGAATTTGTTAAAGATTGATAAGCTGTCATTATTCATTGTGATCCATATCTCACTTTAAGGCGGTTCAGGTGGCAACACATGATTGGAATTGAATGCCACATTTTGTTTGACATGCACTTTGCCAGATTTATACCCTTGGTAACTAACCCTCATCATCAAATCCCAGCGTTATGAGAATAAGGACACGACCCTTAAAAGTCCTGCACCTGTAGCTCTTATGCAAGCCCAAATAGAAATACCATGTCACAACAAACACTTGATCATAATAATAACAAAGGGTTTCCGAAAACAACAAAACTAAAAGGCCCTTGACGTTTACAGTAGTAACATGGAGATCAGGAAAATATCTAAATCAATCCATTCCATAAGATCTCTGTATAAAAATCATGGAACATTATGTCTCGAAGCCCTGCTACGTACCTGGCATCTGCAAGCTGCTCTTCCTTCCTTCGGCTGCCAATCGAGTTTTCGAAATACTTGACGTCCTCGTTGTGGATGGCTCAGGTGGATTTCGACCGGGATTTCCGTGTTAGAGGTGATTGAGAACAATGTTTCGATACACGAGGTAAGCATATCGCAATCAAGCATCACGGTGTGCATCGATTACACGAGGTTTAAGTGTTTGTTTACATTTGTGTTCCAAAATGGCGCCCTCGGTCATACAGGGAATTATGGGTAGACTTGCTTGTCCCGGAATAACACGAGTTGGTCACGAATGACGAGCGGTCATTTCTGCAGCAGTTACGGAAAGAGACGAGGTTGGCCGATTACAGTTCATACAGGCCATATTGGGAGCCGCGGGGATTTCGACAGTGTGTATTAGGAAGTATATCTATGTGGTGTATGGAATATGCGTTTGCCTACCATGCCAGGCAGTGTGACGGGATATCCCAGCGGATGTAATATTCCTACAGCAGAAATGTTTCACAACCTCGACTGCAGGGAGCTGAAGACGTGACATATTCAGACAGAGACCATAATACATAGACTGTTATATGGTCTCTGATTCAGGTAAGGAATATGTTAATAATATTGATCACGTATTAAAGTTATTTATCTTCTGTAAGCCACTTATTCTGTTTTATATATGTTAGTAAATGTGTGATTTAATTTTTGTAGGATAAGCAATCTACCTAACTTATGTTAATCCTTGCTAATGTATATGATGTAGAAATATGTTTGCTTACTTATATTTCTTTATCTAGATACTCTAAAGTGACTCATTTTTTTAGTTCATACTGTACCGACTAAACTTACTTTTGCAGGTGTGAAGAATCAAGAACAAATTAAATGACAGGAGTTTTGCAACAGTGAACATTGTGAAGTGGAAGATAAGACATTTGAAAGGTATGGATATTTTCACTTGAACTTGTTGAAGAATACCGTGATGACAACTTTATCATGTTGGGAATTTTGGCGGTGGGGTAGCCTAGTGGTTGAAGTGCTGAAGACCAAGGTTCGATTCTTGTCATGGGTACAATGTGTGAAGTCTATGTCAGGTGTCCCTTGCTGTGGTATTGCTAAAAAACAGCGTAAAACCCTCCCCATTCATGTGGGGATTCCGGGTTGGAATTGGTCCCCATCAACCTATGCTAGTTGTAAGAGAGGGTTATACTATAAAGGGAAATAGCACCTCGCCTACTATTGCCTGGTGAAAACAGCACCTTGTTATTTTTTTTACCTCGGGTCTGAATATGCCCGAATACATGAAATTAAACTTGCATGGTCACTTGTAAACACAAATAACTGAGAAATGTTCAAAAAGGTTTACATTAAAAACTAGCATCTACTCGCCGACTCTGATTTGGAGATGCAACTAAACTTATTGTGAAAATATAATATGCTTTGATTTCTTTGAAGTAAAATAAATGCAATTAAACTTGCAAACACAAATAATTGTTAGATGTTAATCACCTAAAAATAGTTTACATTAGAAATTAGCCTCTGCTCAAATTTACTCATGATTCTGATTGGGAGGTGCAACTAAACTTATCATTGAAAGATCACATGCTTTGAAGTCTTAAGTAGCTTTACTCAGATTAGCTCAATGTCAAGCTGAAACTGAGTCTGGCGAAAATTACAAGAAACTGGACAACAGGTATACTATATATGTCATATTTATTTTAGTAAGTAGGAAATAAATAGTAATTTTATAGAAATTTCATTGATATATCTTTCGGCCAGGAATCAACATGTCTCTCCAGATAACAGACAACAATTAGTAGCCCATTTTGCCAAAACAAGGTGCTGTTTTCGTCCGAGAAATCAGTGACATTTTGCTGAGGTGCCGTTTTAGCCTCACCCATAAGAGATAACCTAATAGATCAGGTGATCAGGCTCGGTGACCTGGTTCATGGCATCTTACAGTGACCATCTAACAGTGTGGATTGATGTTCACAATATCAATCACTGGATTGTCTAGAATTTTGGGCCTACCTTTAGAATACAGTACCTAACTTTTCAAACAGGTCACAGTACCCTGTGGTGTAATTCGTAGTATTCTGTTGCCTGACACACTGGCAAAACAATGCCTTGTGATGTCAGGGGTCATTGGATGTGCATATATATGCTCTTTTCAGTGGTCTATCGTCTCCACACGCTATGTTGTTGCATAAGTTTTAATTATTTGGTTACTAAATATTGTTTTAAACATTTTTATTTCACAACTTGTGAACTGGATGGGTAAACAAGCAAAAACTTATTTGAATACCGCTCCAGAATTAGAATACAATATATGACAAAAGTACAGTCAATGAATACAATTATATACATGTTCTTATTATAGAAACTACGTTGTCGGCGCTGTCAGGTCGCATTTTTAGTAGTAATAGTGTACTGCAATATACGGCAAGGAATAGTATTATAAATTTAAGATGCTATGTAAAATCACAATACCTATTGGATAGCTGAATGTAGTCTTGTACTGATTTAAGAATTTCTAAGTTTATTTTTGACGTCCTTTCAGGATTACCTAATAGAATTGAATTTAGATCATATCCCTTAACATAATAGTACATATTCTGTCTTAAATCATTGTAATTTGGGCATATGAGAAAGAAGTGAAGTGCATCTTCAGTGTGATGGCCACAGCTACATGCAGGATTAACTTATAAATATGCACATTTTATAACAAGTGCTTGTTTATTTTCTATATGCTTTTATTTCATTTTTTACTTATTACAGTGGTTAAAATGATTATAAATATAAATTGAAACTTATAATGTGCAATAAGCGGGTTATAGCTGAAACGACACCTTAGCAAAACGGCACTGACTGGCGAAATATTATTACTTGACGAAAATGATACCTTATTTTTTTTTTACCTTGGTAAAATAAATGAAATTAAACTTGGATTGATAAATTGCAAAGACCAATAATTGTGAAATGTTAAAACAAGTTTACATTAGAAATTAGCCTCTACTCCAACTTATCCTATACCCGACTCAATTTATTGTGATAACATGCTTTGAAGTAAAATATATGGAATTAAACAAACACAAATACATGTAGTTGTTAAACGTTACAACAAGTTTACCATCGAAATTAGTCCCCTACTCCAATTTACTCACCGACTCTGATTGGCAGACACAGCTCACTTGTTGTGAATGTATTTTTCACTTTAAAGTTTAAAGTACTTAATGTCAAGCTGAAACTGTATTTAAGAATCCTAACATGGTGCTGTCAGATTACAATTTTTCACAATGGCCTTTCGATGTGTCATTTGAACATGTTGAAAGGTTTTACAAGGGATATTTGTCAGTAATAACTGATGCTATTTCTGCCCTTACATTACAACAAATAAATCAGCCAATATGGAACTATTTTATTGATATGTGGCAACAAACATACTTCAGGCTGTACAAATTGTTTAATATCTATGTCATCTTGTTCCTCCTTATGTCTGGGCAGTTGCTCGCTACAATTTCGGAACTTCTTTACAGTTACAGACAGAAAATACCAGAACCGTTAACTACTACAAATCAAATACTGTATGGGTTTCATTGAAAGTGTCGCCACAACTGAAAATCTTCAAATACCTGTATTTGGCTATAACTTTGACTATTTTTTTTCTGTTCCTGCCTATTATCTATTCCTGCCTCAGGTAAGGATGCAGTGATTTATTTAAGTGCACACATATATCACAGATAAACTCCTGAAGTCTATGAAAGTTATTTACAAGTTATACACATAAGGACTTAAAGGTGGAGAATGTATTGATGTCAACTTCTTTATTATGATGATCACAACATTTCGGAGTATGTACTTACTCCTTCATTAGGTGAATATTCACAATTCTGCTCCAAATGCTTAGATTAATGCTCATATTGTCAACCATATTTGCCATTTCTATATCATATTCATGTGTATAATACATTTTATTTCTAATAATGGCGTAATTGAGACACACAAATATAAAGTAACCCAATACTTTCCTTAACAGGCGACAATGCTTGTCTAAAGAGTTGACTTACACCATCAGGTGGCGATCAGGCTCGGTGACTTGGTTGATGCATGTCATTGATCCCAATTGTGTGGGTCGATGCTCATGATGTCAATCACTGGACTGTCTGGTCCAGACTCGATTATTTACATATTATGATATAGCCGGAATATTGCTTGAGTGCGGCATAAAACAACAAACCAAATCATAAGTGCGGGATGAGTGATTTGAAATTAGCAAGTTTTATGTGACCTTCAATCACTACAACCTGATCTGAGTCTTGAAAAGATATGTTTTTGATTCAGTGAAAATTTGCATCATGAGAGTTTCAACTGTAGATACAGTTAATCTGTTTTTTGTACAGTTTCTGTTTATTCAATGTATATGTTGTTCAAATAAGCTTTGCATTTTCACCAACCCTATTCCTCTTTTGGAATAAATAGTGTCTAATAATTCAAACACCATCACAACTAATCATCCTAGTAAACACAACAAAGAAATGCACATCAAAAACGTCATTATTATTATTTCTTATCTCTGATAAATTAGAAAAAACTGTTATCCAGCAAGATACATTTCCTTGGTCCCAAGAAGCATGTTACATAGTAAACTGACTCGATAAGTTTAATAGCAGTCAGCGTGGTTGTAAAGGCAAACTAAGCCGTCACTACTCAATTAATTAATTAACAGACAATTGCAAGTACTAATACCCACCCGACACTAATTGCCCTGTTAATCCCTAGTCCACAATGAGTTGACATTGAGTTCATTTTGCTAATTAGCTGTTTTTAGAGTAGCAAGGTAATAAACATCAAAGGTGGGGCAGGCTTTGATCATGTGTTCTGTAGAAGAGATGATGTCACTTGTTTTATGTTTATTTAGGATTAGCTACATCCCTTGATGCTACCAAGGCAGCCCTTGAGATTATCAGACAGTTTGGCTGGACACAAACAGATGTCTCCCTTGTAGCACACTATGTGTCAGACACAGACTTTGACCACTCTGTGCAGATGCATATCAATGCATAAAGAACATTGGGTAGGTGATTCAACAATGCGACACAAGTCAAAGTTGGGTTTCACTGTATTTAGAAACAGATGATGGATCCAAAACTTTATAACAGTAATTATGATTAATTTAAACTTTGCCAGGCCAATATTTTGGCAGAATTGCATGTTATTGTTAATCTTCATTTAGTAAATTTTCAAAAAAGATATGATAAAATATGATAATGAGTCATGAATATTTGAATTCAGATCAGAACAAACAGGGAGGGTCACCCAAAAATGTGAGAGTCTCTAGGGGAGGCTTTTGACAAAATGGACTTTGCATTTTCTTTCAGGGAGGGTTGTGTCAAAAATGAATGAGAACATACCGGTAATACATGACTGGCCCCTTTAATGTAATATACATAGTTTTTAGTTGATGGTTCAGGTTGTACTTTTCAGTTGAATTTCTTACCACTGTCTATGATGGATTACCAATTAACGGTAGATATTAAATATCCATAATAACTTAGATAAATGCTTCTACAGTCTCATCCTAATTTGTCAAAATTTGAGTTTCAATATAGCTTCCATTAATGAATTAATGAATTTGGTGAGAATATCTATTGTCTGAATTCCTAATATACTTTCTTTTGTATTTGGTGTGCAAGGGTAGCCTAGTGGGTGAAACAGTCTCTGAAACCCGGGTTCAATTCACCACATGGGTACAATGTGTGAAGCCCATAGCTGGAATATTGCTAACAAGCTGCATGAAACTATACCAACTCACTCGTTCATTATGTTGTATTTTGAGATCACTTACATGACATGTGATTTGATAATTATGAATAATGCATTTATGTATAAGAACCTATGTAACTTAGTATTGCATAGTCTTGTTTACCCTTCCTTACATTTTGATGTAATGCAAACATTCAAGCAAAATTCAGGTGAACCTTGTGGTATTGTTTTAGAAGACCGGATACATTTTTGTATTTTCTGAACACTTTTCTGTTTGCAATGGCTTATTTACATGTTCAAAGATTGGTTAAATATCAGTTGCAAGATAAATTGTCAATACCTCACTGTTCGAGAAAACAACTTTAAACATTTGTAAATATGTGTGTGTTTCATAACTTTTGACTAACAAGTTTCTAAAGATGTTGTGAAATGTTTCAGGTACCTGGATTTCACAATCTGACACCAGCTACATTTAAGAAGATCTTGCTCACACAATTCAGACAAGGGACTCGCCGGATGATGAACAGTACTCCTGATAACAACCAACAGATTCACCTCAGAAAGTGATGATTCTGAATGAATAATGCCACATCAGTGTTACTGTAGGTGGTTTTATTATGACACTAATGAAGTCTGAATGAATTTATGCCAAAGCACTGTGACTATGTCCAGTTTGTGTACACCGATGCTGACTATACAAATCTGAATGACTTTTGTGGTTTACTGCAGAAACATAATTGACTTTAGATTTTTTTCTTCAATAAAATTCTTCTGAGATTTGACTAATTTGTTTATTTAGAAAATGGCATTGAAGCATCTGTTCTGTAAGGCCTTGCAAACACCACTGGAGTTCCTCTTCTTGCTTGATCAATTTTCAATTTGTGATATGTACCAATGAAATGCCATATAATCAATAAATAAGATTTTTTTCCAAAAACATGATTTGTTTTGCTTCATTAGCATAAAGACATATAATACTGATCAGCCATAACATAGGTGCTGAACAAATATAAAATGTACTAATGCCCTGAATGTTTTCCTACTATAAATACAGCTCACTTAACAAAAGTTGTAGTTCCACCTTAGTAGACAAATGACATTGGTATTTTTTCTGTACTTTATTTAGGTGTTTTCTATGGATGCCATTAGTCTTATGCACCAATTTGGGACAATTGTATTCTGTTTTATATTCCCATGAAACTACACTGTCCCGATATAACAAGTACTGATACCGTTCCAAACTAATCTGTTAATCTCACCAGGGCCAAATGCCAAAGCACATAGCCAATGACTTTCCATTTTTTTCTGAGTGAGAATGCTGTTTTGCCACTTTTAGCAATATTGCAACAATATCATGGTGGGGGACACCAGCAATAAGCTTCACACATTGGACCCATGTCGCGAAACAACTTGTGAACAATGCATGCCCACATATCTCAGTTTGAGGAGGATATTTACAACTAAAATAACACAGAATATTACAACAGGTACCTGTAATGCACAGGCTAACATTATTTACCAGAAGCAAGTCATGAAGAAAATTTGCATCCGGATACCTTCCGGAAACCTTCCGGAAACCTTCCAGATGCCTTCAACAACCTTCAAATTGCTTGGTATTTTCAAGTTAATTTTTTTATGTGTTTCACACTTAAGTGAACAAAATGCACCCCCCAAATTTTGACATTTTTTTTGGAAGGTTTCCGGAAGGTTTCCGGAAGGTATCCGGAAGGTATCCGGAAGGTTTCCGGAAGGTTTCCGGAAGACGGAAACCTACACTTTTTTTGCTGTGTGTACTCGAGGGCAGATGACTACGGAGTACGCTGATGACTGTGTCGGTTAAACGAGACTGATTAATGAGTGATTTCGGTAATTCCTTGCAAATTAGGTGTGTCAGAGTCGGAGTGCGAGACTGTTGGATTAATGGGTCTAAATAGCACTGATTTAATCGGTTCCCATCATTAGCGTCGGATAAAGCCGATTGTCGGATTAACGAGTGTCGGATTAACGAGACTTGACTGTAGTATCTTTGTATATTTAATATGTATGTTACACTCCCGGGAATAACAAATGACCAGTCTATTCAACTGCTTCATACTATCGATAACTCGGATGGACAACTTGAAGTCCCTCTATGCGATGTAACATATTACCCGCGCTGGGCCAATATAAGTTCTGCGAGACATAATAATCAGATATGGATAAATGGAGACGTGCACACTATATCTGATGGGTATTACAGCATATGCTCACTCAATGATGAAATTTTTAAGCCTTTGGCAGCTAGTCTCACACAAAATGAGTCGAATGGGATGCGGAGTTTAAAAGCTGGAGAAAAGCAAATAATTCTTAAAAAGAACATAGCAGATACACTTGGAATTGGTATAGGAGGAGCAAGTTTAATAACACCCAACCAAACATGCTATGGAGTTACATTACCCGATTTAGTTCCCTATAAAGAGTTGTGCATCCATCTTGATCAGATCAGTACAACGGATAATATTCAACTCGCTTAGAGCTATTCCAGTCAAAGATGAAAAATACAATAGCGGTACAACAGAATCTTTCTCAACATTACAATATAAAAAAATAAAATTTCTGTATTAGATTTAAAACATCAACCTGTACATATAGCATACTTGAGTGTAACACTCCATATTATAAATAATGGTTGATGCATCAGGCCCTGGAACGCATATCCTTAGACAATGTAATACAATTGCGCTTTCCGATCTCGGAGACACAGAAGGATTCGGTAAACCCGGTACCGATGGCAAGTTATACGCTTTACACTTACAAGATAATGTATACAAGCGGAAAGAAGTTGAATTCCCAGTTAATTTAGGAGATTTAAGTGATGTCGACGTTAGTAGACTCAATAAAAACACTTCATACAATCTTACTCGCAACGATGATAATAAATGAACTATGATCGAAGCAAAAATCAAGTGGCTACTGAATATCTTCATTACCCCACCATATGTGATGATTGGTAAGGCACATAATTTAACTAAGATAATAAATAGTGGGATCGTACTCGGGGCTTATATCCCATCAAAACGAAAAGTGTGTTAGTCTCTCCCCTGCCAGAAAACCCAGGTCATATGTTATTGAGTCGTCCGGCAGTAAAAAATGTTAGTTTAAATTTGGTTACTGAATTCAATGATATAAAAGATAACTTGAAGGATATACCCGATCATTCTACAATTATTATTGAAGTCTTGTTTGGGGATGCATCAGAAGATGCCTGCGAGATATCACCAGGTCTATCAATTAAATGGCTCAAGCAACACGAGCGTCGACGTTGCAGTATCATTTATGTAGGAGCATCACCCGTTGCAACCCTTGAGGAGGTCCAAATTATTAAAGGTGATAGCATTTCTCTTACTAAGATATTTATGCCGTATAATATACATTTAATAAGGTTGATGTACACTCTCAAAACATTGAAGCAAGACCAATTAAAGACTATTATATGATATATTAATATACACTATGGATTTATATCCAGCGCTCGATGAATCATCTGAAAAGATGGATACTGTTGATGGATTTCGATTACATCAAATAAGCGACATAAAACATTGATTAGAGGAGGAGAGGGAGTTGAGACTTGGATTGTAGAAAAAGTATCGCAGAGCCGTGAATCCTCTCGACGGAGTTGACACTGTGCTTGTAACAGCTGGCATTGGACTCGGTGTAGCGGGTGTTGGTTAATTATCAACTATAATCTCCGCACCTATCGTACTTGGCATGGAAATAGCCACCGGAGTCTCAGGACTGGCAGGAATAGCGATAAATTTATTTCTCGTAAGTTGCAAAAGAAAGCATTAAAACATGATAATATTCGGATACTCGCCGAAGCAAAGGTGGACAGCATTGTGGATCATATTTCAACAGCACTGGCTGATTGTAAGATATCCGAGGATGAGTTTCGTTTAGTGCTGTCAGAACTCACCAAATACAACGTAAAGAAGCAGGAGATTCGATCCAATTCTCGTAAGACCAGTGGTATTAGCGAAGACGAGAAACAAAAGTTCATAGAACAGGGGAGACAACAAGCGCGTCAATTATTCCCTGCCAAAACCAAAGAACCGGTTGGAGATTAAAAATAGATTGCTTGATCACGTTGGATCACATTTAGACGAATGCTTACATAAGTATATAATAATGTCAACAACATTGATGCTCCAGGACAAAATTATCAAATGGCGAGAATTACCACAGGGTATATATTATATCAGTGATGTCAAACCAACCAAATACGGTCATCATTTGTTTCTTTCCAATTTAGAAAAAGAGTATATAGTCTGGTCTCCTAGTAAAATGAACGAAGAACTTAGTACAAATGTTGAATATTACTTTGTTCAAAATAATGGTATGCGTATGAGTAAACAATAATAGAGAATATTTTCATTACAATTTAGTTTAATCTCATGACGATCATTGAATCGAATCATCGTTTTGACATAAAAAAAATTCCATCTGTAGTAGCAGTATAGGTATATAAATCTGGCTCCAGTGGAAGTGGTCCAGAATCACCATTACCTATACTGCTGGTCAAGTTGATGATGGTTGCGTGAGCCATGTACATCACTACGTGTGCTGCTTCGGAGACATGATATCATTTAATACATTAGTAAACTTTTCAATATAACTGTTATATATAGTTTCTTGTGAAGAAAAATAGACTTAAAAATGTGTTAATGAGGAGTGATTCTTTACATTCATGTAGAGTCGACATTCCATCTGTACCTGTCAGCACCCATTTTGTCAATATCATACACGGCGGCTGCTGCAACAACAGTCCAAAGCGTAAGGAGGAGTGGTCAGAATCTTGGTTGAAATTACTAACAATAAAAGTAGAAACCATATTAAACATGTCTGCAGAGCATAAAAGATCATCTTTCGATCCGTTGAATGTGAAGTCATGAGCATGGTATTCTGTGTAAATTCCACTAAGAATTGGTGGCCCTGTAGCCTGCACAGATAACCGTATTCACTGTCCTTGATCTGGGTTAACACGGGCAGGTAACTCTCGATATGCTTCACAAATAACATAGCCTGAATCTGTTCTTTGACAGAAGCATGTAAATTGTCATCAGTAATAACGTCATCTTTATTATTAACCACAATGTGGTGAAGATACAGGTGGTAAGATACTTAATCCGTACGTCACACGTGTGTCGTACAAGGTTGACCTTGTTTTATTCGTTTTGATTGGATAACCGTGACCACTGTCACACCGCAACTACGTTTTTCATTCATAAAAATATTCGCGAGACGTCATTCACTTTTACAACTACAAGGCAGAACTGAAGGAATCTCATCAAAGCGAGACATTTACAAACACTTTATTAAACCAAACAAGATCGTCACACGCATCTTTTTCGCTTTGGATTCTATAGTTGGTATGCATAGCGTTACAGATCGAGGGTCCCTTTAAGAATGACGCACCCGACCACTTTCGCGACTTTCAATTTGATTTTACGTAAAAGGTTAAGCGTGGTGAAATGAAGTCAGTTTAAACTATCTGGACAGATATCAAGACTTACCATGCTCCGATTGTGCCATCAATGTCCCTATTCGAAGCGTGTTTTTTTTTAAATTGATTCCGAAGGTGCTTTTTTAATGAATGAACATACACGACTTCACGTCCAGATCACTCAAAGTGAACAGTTCCGATACAAATCATTCGAAAACTCCGTGGAAGTGTGCCTGACGTCTGCTTTTGAGGCCCAAACATCCCAAATGTGAACAATAACATTACCTTTATTGATTTTTGAGTAAAACGCTGTGAGTAGATCACGCGCGTTTGTCTTTTCATATTCAGATGGTGACCTTGCCCTTCGTTAGAAGGTGTCACCGACATTGTAAGCAGACTTGAGTTTGTTGATTTTCACGTCTTCATGCAGTATATAGGGTACTACAGTTAACATCAACGTCTTTGTCGAGCACTCTGATCCCCTCTTCCAAAATGGCACCGACAGGATATAGATTCAGCTGATAGATCAAGCAAATCGAACCATTCTGATTGCACAGCCGGGAACCCGTCGCTGCGAAGGATTGAGAGTGGTCCGAGATTCAAGGCTGTGTGTACATGTGACTGCATTTCGTAACTTTATGACAGGACAGGCAGACTCTAAACAAACGTGACGTCTCACAAACGAGGGTTAGAGTAGCTTCCCTTTGATAAAGGACAGTTGCTCTAGCTATGTACATTTCAGCTAGTAGAGCTTAAAGTAAAACCCTAAAGAAGGCATTTAAGACATATCAAAACAAATGTGTCCAACAACTGAGGGAATGTAAGGATAGTAACCCTAAGAATTTTTGGGAAATTTTAAAATCATTTGAACCAAAGAAAACAGCAGAAAAAATCAGTATAGACAATTTTTTTCAATTTTTTAAAGATCTTAATCAAAGTTCTGATGATAATGACGATGTTTTTGCCAATAACACAAATTACGATAATCATGATGATATCTTAGATTGTAGAATTACAGAAGAAGAAATTATGTCACCTGTCCGTGCATTGAAGAACAATAAGGCTTGTGGGTTGGATGGTATTTACAATGAGTACATTAAAAGCTCTATTCATGTTATGATGCCGGTTTACGTAAGGCTTTTTAACCTCGGTTTTGACACTGGAGTTTTACCTGAAGCTTGGCTTGTTGGCAAAATAAAACCAAT